TGGCCTGCTGTCTGAGGCACAAGCTCAGACCCACAGTGATCATCTTGTCACAGGCCCCGAGTGCTGATGTCACAGTTGTGAGCCACTGTGCCAGGCCAGAGGTTGCTTTAAATGAGAAAATTACAATGTATTCTAGAGAGGAAATGTGCACCTAGAGGGTTGTTTGTAAAGACCCCTGGTGGATGCAGGCGCGGGAAGCAGTCTTGAATACAGAGGCAGACAATTTCACTTAGAGCCCCAGCAAATCGAATCCAGCACTGTTTCAAAATAGACACTATGACCAACTAGGGCTTGTTCTAGAAATGAGATTATGATCAATTATCAAGGCATTTATATTTGTAACATCTTGTATGAAGACCACTGAACGCAATAGGGAGTACTGCTTCATGCTGAAATATCTCGAGTCATTTCAAGTTTGGGAGACAGGTAGTGACGCCCGCTGTGACTAGCAGAGAGAACAAAGTTCTGAGAAGCTGTAGGATTGAGGTAGCCAAGGTGACACTGTGGTATATTTGGAATACTGAGGAAGTTTTGACTCCTTCAGACATAAACAAACCTTCTTTGATCACCGGCAATTTTAAGGTAGGTGGAAAACATTTGGCAGCAGCAGGAAATTTGTTTTTTCCATTACACAAGTATTGAAGAGATAAAAGCTTTCTTTCTATCTTGCCTTTTTCAACCGGTATCCATACAACCTCTGCATTGTTTTTCATAAGCACTCTTAGCTCAGCGCTCAGAGCAATTGTTACTTCCTTATTTTATGTGTATGAGTGTTTTGCTTGCATGCATGTCTGTGTTCCCCTCCTTTGCCTGGTGCCTGCAGAGGCCAGAAGAGGGCATTGGATGGCCTGGAATGGGAGCTATAGTTGTGTGCTGCCATGTGGATCCTAGGGTTTGAGCCAGGACTCTTTAGAAGAGCAGCCGGTGCTCTTAACCTCTGAGTATCTCTCCAGCCCCAAGAATATTAAGTATTGTGAGCATAGTTTGGAGTACTAACAGGATCCTTACAGAATAACAAACAGATGTGTACTTTCATGCAGAAAAGTTAACCAACAAATACATTCTTACCTGCATCGTTTTCTGCATAGTTAGTAAATTAAATATGAGGATTTCATTTCAAATCTTCAAATAATTACACACACACACACATACACACACACACACACACTCACACATCTTCATTGGTAATTCACTCTGATGGTGTAGTATGCTAAGATTTGAGTTTAAGGCCAGTAACTTTAATTTCTTGATTCTCTGTGTGTTTTGTGTGTGGTTTGTAAGCTAAATACCTTGCAGCAGAGGGTTTCACAAATGTATTCTAAAGAGTGTCTTTTGCTCTGGTCTTTGTTGCTGTGGAGTGTATTTCTCTCTGTTTGAAATAAACCCTACAGTCCTGCATAGACGTTTGCGAGGAGATCACAGAGAGGTAATGGCTGGGCTGTTGTAGCAGCGTGTTTTCTTTAAGTTGCAGCTAAAGAGAATAGTAATCCCAATCGAGACTCTACCGTGTGAGAATCAGAGGAGACTACACGTGAGCAGACTTACTAACTTGGTGTTGGTTACTAGGATATTTAATTTGTACGTCAGTGTCAAGCTAGCATAGCTGTACTTTTCTCTTCTTCTTATCTGGACTCACCATGCAGTTACAGCTGGAGGAGGAGGAGAGACGCTGGCCCTAACAGTGCTGGCTGACAGGAGGTCGGAGCTACCCGCTCACGCGGGGAACTTGGTCCCTGAGATCTTGACGATTCTCGTTTTATCTCCTTATTGATGACAGAAAATTCTGGTCATATGACCACTTGCTAATCCGTGGCCTGTGCTATCTGTATGGAGTAGCAGGAATAAAGGTCTGTAACTGCCCACCGCTGATGATGGATGTCACGGCTGTGGTCACGTGGGGCCAGTCTGTACTGTGTTTCTCACGGACCCCAGGTGCTGCTCTTTGCAACAGAGATGTCGCCAGTGGCAGGAAGGCTTGCTGGGTCACATGACCTAGCTGCATGCAGCTGGGCTGTCAGTGCTGACTGGACCTTAGCTGATCAGTTTTCTTGCCCGGTTGGTTAGTCAGAGCTCACGTTTATTGCTGTCTTCTGGTACATGGCCTGAATCTGCTGCTGCCTTCAGAGTTCAGAGTGGACTGGTGTGTCAGTAACGCGATAATTGTTTCTTTCCTTTTAAATTTAACTAAGAGGGCATATTGTTCTTGGCCACTGGACCCTTATATATTTTGGCAATTTGGAAAATCTGAAGTTTTGTGTGTCTTATATCTTTTGGAGCACACCTGTCTTAATAAGCTCTTCATGGCATTTATTAGTCTTGATACTCTGGTCCTATTAGCCTATATCAAAACAATGAGATGTGTTTTCAGTGTATTGTAATACTATCCTCAATGCAGAGTTCCTAAATAGTTTGCAATATAAATTATGTTTGATGAATGATTGGCATCTAACTACCGGAATTCATTAGTTGACTATAACATTTCTGTTAGTTTTCTTATTCAGAGTTTGTACCATGAATAGGTCACCCCCCCTTCCAAGAAAAAAAAAAAACGAAAATGAATAATGTCTCAAGATCCTTTTAACATATTATTTCAAATATTTATAGGTCTAATAATGGAAAGAAAGAAGTTGTCAAATGAATCTTAAGCATGTTGCTTAGCTTCTGTAGATCTGATTCTTCATTTATAAGAAGGCAATTTCTTAGTAAACCCCATTTTATCTTAGTAAGTACACATTATGCACATTACTTCAATTAGCCATGACACACAGATTTGGCAGTCTGTTTTCGTTCACAGGTGTCTGTTATAGAATTAAAGATGCAGTCTAGAAGGTGGGATGATATCTTAGTAGGTAGATGCTTCTCGTGTACGCCCAAGGACCTGGGTTCACACGCCAGACAGAAGAACCTCTGTAGGCAGTGCTGCTAAGGTGAGGCAGGAGGTGTAGACAGGGGAATGCCGGGAGGCTCTGAGCCAGCCTACCTAGTATGTGCAGCGGAACAACAGAGAGCAAACTGTCTGCACACACGTCAGCGTGTCCATGTGGACACACGCATTCACACACATGTACGCGCAGGCCACCCTCCCCCCCCACCAATTGTAATCTGCAGAGCGCCAACTTTCAGGAATGTTGATGTGGACACCATCTCCATGGAGGAGGCAGTGTAAAAACACTTAAATAAAACTGTTAGATTTTTATTCTCTCTCGCTTTAGAGCAACAGACAGCTGTTGTGGCCCCCTTGAGTGATGGGGGGTCTTCTGTACGCATTTTTCTCTTATTGGTTGATGAATAAAACACTGTTGGCTAATAGGGAAGATAGGCGGGACTAAGGGACAAGGAGGATTCTGGGAAGTGTAGTAAGGAAGAAGTCGCCATGAATTCCTGGAGGAAAAGATGCACACATGAGTCTGGTGTTCTCCATAAGATAAGACCATGTACGAATATATATTAGTAGTTATGGGTTACTACTGAAGACAGAGCTAGCCTATAAGAAATCCTGGTCACTGGCTAACAGCATTGTAACTAATAGAGTCTCTGTGTGTTATTTGGGGCTGATACGGCACTGGGACCAGGCTGGTGGGAAGAGTTATTGTAACTCTTGAGAGCTTTACAAACTAAAGAGTACTCATTAGTGCTATTTGTGTACCTTGGAACAGTCTTCAGCAAATACTCGCTGGAATGTATTGTATTGCTGTTAGTGTCTCAGCTTCACTTGGTTTTTATAATTTCTTTGATCATCATTAGTAAGAATATTGAATTAAGGCACATTTGGTATTTGCGCTATAGGCACAGTTATATAGGTAAGAAAATATGTAATTTATTATAATTTTAACTTTTGTAATTAACTTTACATATATTTGCTGTTCTTTGTAGATTTCTTTCTTTTTTTTGGTTTTTATGAGACAGGGTTTTCTTTGTAGATTTCTAAGGTTATTAAAATTGCACTTTGTAAAACTTATTACACTTAAAGTAAATATCCACTCCTGCCTTTAGATACAGCGTGTTTAAGAAGTTGAAAGGTAATAAGTATCATAAGACTGTCCCCAGGTCCTGGACACTGACCAAAGTCTGTGCTTATGTGTGCTGATTTTAATGTTTTGTCAAGATGGTATATTTTCTTTTTTTTTTTTTTTTTTTTTTTTTGGTTTTTACGAGACAGGGTTTCTCTGTATTGTTTTGGAGGCTATCGGTCCAGCCCGGCCTCGAACTCACAGAGATCTGCCTGCCTCTGCCTCCCCAGTGCTGGGATTAAAGGCGTGCGCCACCAACGCCCGGCTATTTTCTTATTTTTAACCTCTTTTGAGAATTGTGTATATGAAAACTGTATTTGTATCATTCATTCCCCTTTCCTTCTCCTTCTAACTCCTTCTGTGTCCCTGTACTTCTTCTTATCAAATGTAGTATATTTTTTCTTTAGCCATTTTTCTTTCCATATTCCTTACATAACTGTAGTTCATTAGTTTTTAAAAGTTTTGAATCTAGGTTTTTGTGCACTTGAAGTACTCCTTCTAACATCAAAGAAAAACTGTTTTCTTGAAACACATCATTAAAGTAATTTAAATATTATATTATGATGGTTCTATTTTGGACATTCTGTCAGTGAGTATTATGTGTCCTATTTACTTTTATATTCATTCCAGAAATTCTTGATGGAATTTACAGGTGTGTTCTGCAGTGACATTCATGGGCTTCACTACAGTGAATTTTGCTGTATTTTACTAAAGCCAAGCCAGTGAAATTATCTCTAAGCATGAATGATAATTTCATTCATTCATTTGTTGACTCTTATCTGAATTATTGGTGAGAACTTTATGCAAGAGTTATCTTTAATTGGAGTCTGTTGTAGTTGAATGGTGATGCTGAGTTGTAGGTAGTGGGAGATTGGTCATCCTTTTGGTTTTCTGATTTTAAGCATGATGTCTCGCATCTCATCAGTGATTGTTTTATATGATTTCTCCTGAACTCCTTAAAATTCTTATTTCTCTTTTCTTTATTTTTAGCTTGTGATGAATGGAAGACATTACCTAAACCAAATCTCCATAGAGATGTGAACAGATTCGGACACTCTGCAGTAGTTATCAATGGGTAAAAGCCTCAGTTTCCTTCTCAGGGGGTCAGGACAGTTGTCCTCACGTTCTTTCCACACTTCATTTTGACTTATTTAGACACAAGGGTTCATTCCCTTCCTTTCTCCTGGGCACGACCTCTACTGTGAGTTTTCTTAAGCTCATTAAGCCTGTGGGTGTGGTTAAGGGACTACAAGACTGAATCTCCCAGTGAGGCCACCCTGTCCTCTTTGTTCTTCCTGATGACTGTGAAAAGACCTAAGGGAGAGAGAGGCCAACGCTGGCCTCATGTTCTGCACACAGAGAACTCCACCATTAGGTTCTCATTGTAGCTACGCCTTAACCACGCGTATGAGTTTCCGCGTCTGTAGATTATTGACCTCCCCAGACTTCAATATCAGTTTATTTTTTGGAACTTGGAGTATGGGCTTAAATTCCGGTCTCCTCTTGGGCTTATAGAAATAGTTGGCTGTTTTTGTTCTTGAGATGAGTTCTCATTCTATAGTCTAGCTGCGCTGGAGCTGTGTAGTTCATGCTAGCATCGAACTAATGACAGTCCTCCTGTCTCAGCTCCTAGAGTGCTGGGATTTTAAGTGTCAGGCACCATACCTAGGAAATTTGTATGACTTTTTTTTTGTTTCACTAAGAAGTATCTGTTGGGCTGGAAGGTGGCTCAGACGTTAAAAGCACTGGCTGATCTTCCAGGGGTTCAGAGTTCAATTCTCAGAAACCACATGGTAGCTCACAAACATCTATAGTGACATCTGGTGACCACTTCTGCCGTGCAGGTATAGATGGAGTCGCAACACTTTATACACAACAAATAAACCTTAAAAATAACAAAAGCAAAAAAAAAAAAAACAAAAGCAAAAGAATTTGTTAATTTGGATCTGTATGATAGTAAATTATCTAGCTCATATAGTAGTTTAAAATGCTTAACTCTGAATAATGTTTTTATAAATTTATTATCACCTTATCCCAATTACGTAGAGTTATCCTACTGTTGCCATACAGTGGATTGTTATCCACAATGAAACTTCATAACCAACATGAATCGAGTCTAAAAATAATAATAAATAAAATTTATGTGAATCTTAGGTTTTATTGTGGGAAATAGGGTTTGATTTTGATTTTCTTTGTTTAATGATAAAGAGTATTCTTGAAGCATTTGGACCACTTTTCTTTTTTATGTCAATAGTAGTTTACAGGTAACAGGTGTGCAAGCGTCCTCATTGTTATTAAGCATGTCAGTATCGTGGGGCTCCATTACAGAATGGGCGCACGGAAGTCTTATCTTTATTCTGCATTTTTCATTTACAAGAAGTCTCACTATCTGACTTCTAAATTCTGGGTCTGTGCCAAGTGGCTGGTAGAGTGATGTGTGGCCTTTCTCCCCACGGCCTGGCCTCGAAACAGAAGGTTCATGAGTTCAAGGCTGGGAAGGGTGCAAGTTCTAGGCTGGCCAAGAATACAGAACATACCCAAACAAAACAAACAACATTTTGGAACAAGATCCCCAAATCAATATAGAAAAAAACAAAACAAAAAGGGTAAATCTAGGTAAGCAACTCCAAAGCACACTTTAATATTTATGTATGACTATAATGCGATTATATACTGTAGTTGCATATTTCTTAAAAGATTGTTTCTTTATTAAGGTGGTAGTACTTAACATTATTTTCTCACATTAATAATAAACATGTCTGGAAATTTAATGTTTCCACAAAATATTATGATTTATACTGTATTTCAGATTTTATCTGAAAAATCATAAAGGAAATCTCGTAGTAGTTAATCTGGGCTTTTAACATCATTCTGTGTATTGGGTGCAAGAACAGGCCTTTAAAATGTTAGAAGGTGTAGTCAGATCTGTGTATTCTTCAGCCTGAGTCGCTAGGCCGCTCAGCCGTGCTCTGGTAACATGCCCTCTCTCCTGTCTTCTAGGTCCATGTACATATTTGGTGGATTTTCTAGTGTGCTCCTTAGTGATGTCCTTGTGTATAAGCCCCCGAACTGCAGAGCTTTCCGAGATGAAGAGCTCTGTAGAAATGCCGGCCCAGGGATAAAATGTGTTTGGAATAAGAATCACTGTGAATCTTGGGAGACTGGGAATGCCAATAATATTCTCAGAGCAAAGTGTCCCCCTAAAACTGGTGAGACATACCTTCCTTTTGGTTTAAAAGCTCCTCTATGTATTTAAAAGTAGAATTGATTTTGCTTATATGAGGTTCCTTATTTTAGAAATTAAAAACACAAGCTTTAATTATGGAGTCTGATACTTGGATTGTAAATCAGTTAATATTTGTTTTCTTTTTAAATTTGTGTGGGAATATTTTATGTGTAACATGAATTATTTTATTACATGTTAAATACATATTTTCTCAGAAATGTTTGCTTCAAGGAAATAAAAAGTGATATATGTTACATTTGGTGTTTTCCTCCTGAATTTCTGCAGAGCCACATTGTACAATTTACTTTTTTCTTTTTGAGATAAAAGTTATTTCATTGTAATGAATTCATAAATAAAAATATCACATAGCAAGATTAACGCTTGCCAGTTCCAAACTTTATACATGTCATGGCCACTGTGATGTTATGGAGGTTATTTTTTTGGCTTTTATTTTTTATTATGATGTATTGAATAAATAGAGTTATGAAGAATGAGCAGTCAGTATTTTTATTTATTATTTGCATATTTCAGCTGATAGGGCTTTAATATATTTTGGTGTTGTAATTAATAAGCATTTTCAGATTCTGTTACTCTATATCACATTGGATCTCTAAATAACCTTTATAGTCACAAAACCCAAATATTTATTATTATATTTTATTCTGGTGTATACTATTGGTAAATTCCTTTTCTCTTTATAAATGAGCAAATTTACAATGTGTCTTGTAAATATAAACTACTAGAGAACTTATTTTGTTACTGATTGTTTCTTTTTAGTGATCCTTAAGTAGATGTTGTAAATGTGTGAATTAAGAATGGTGACATTTTTCTTCTAGTCTCACATGTCTTGTCTTCCACTCATGCTGCAGCTGCTGCTGATGACAGATGTTACCGATACGCAGACTGTGCCAGCTGCACCGCCAACACGAACGGGTGTCAGTGGTGCGATGACAAGAAATGCATCTCAGCGAATAGTAACTGTAGCATGGTCAGTGCAACCACCGGGGCCCGGAACCGCAGCCTTCTTAGAACAGTTACTTTCTGGCTTAACATTGAAAAACTATAAAATTAGTGCTCATGGCTTGAAACTTCCTATAATCATGCTGTTTTAAACAAGATCTCACCTGTTTGAGATGCCGGGGTGAAAGCCTGCTGGCTCAGAGAGGCAGAGAAACCACCAGCTGACCTTCCTCCTCCAACCTCCTCTACTGTCTCAAACAAGACTCCGCCCACTGAGTGCCCCTCCCTTCTACTTCCTGTGTGTCTCTCTGTCTGTCTTCCTGACTCCCTCTTACCCTCCTTTTTTTCTTAATCCCACGTTTACTTCCTGTCAACTGGTTGCTTGCTTTCCCGTCTGACCTCGGGTTGACTTTATTTAATCCTGCAGAAAGCTCTTGGATTAAAGGTGTGTGCTAGGGCAGAACCGCACCAGAACTAGAACCAGGTTTTTCCAAAAAAGAATGCAATCTTGCTGTCCACGTTATCATGTATCCTGCAACAATACCATATTTAAATTTTCTGTAATGACCAAGGTTGTAGGAGTCTATTATAAAATACCAAAACAAGAAAGTTTAGTTATTGGCTCAGTACATTGAACCCCTTTTGCTTTTGTACATATTTTGTTAGTATATAATTTTTCAGTTATGCAAATTGACTTATACTAAAGGTTTGAGTTTTAACGTTTTTCATGACGTGTTTCTATTTGAAGTTTAGTTATGTTTTTAATACGTACTCACATATGGGGATTATATTAGTGGAAATCAAGAAAGATTAAGTAAATGACATAAGCATAAATGCCTGGTGGTAATGGTTGGGGTTCTTCAGAGGAACGACCGTAGGGACACACTCAGTATTGTAGGGAATTGTCTATGTCATTAGAAAAGTCTCCATGTTCTGTTTGCCGCCTGTAAACTGAACACAAGGAAATGTGGTAGAATTTCAGTGGAGGTATAGTGGTCTGTGAACCGTTAGCACCACTCATGTAAATCTTATTCAAGTGCAGGGGTAGCTGATGTCTCCATTCAGCAGTCAGACACCAGTTCTTGCTGTCCTAAGAGTTTGTGTTGTTTGGCTCTCAGTGAACTGGATGGTGTCACCTCACAATGGGGAATGTGTGTCAGTCAGCTCATGAAAAGGCTACTGTCATTTGTACGTCATCACAGACATATCAGACCCTCTGCACACCTGTTTCCTGGTCAGATAGACACACCCCAGACCATCTGCACACCTGTGTCCTGGTCAGAGTGACATACCCCAGACCATCTGCACACCTGTGTCCTGGTCAGAGTGACACACCCCAGACCATCTGCACACCTGTGTCCTGGTCAGATAGACACACCCCAGACCATCTGCACACCTGTGTCCTGGTCAGATAGACACACCCCAGACCCTCTGCACACCCGTGTCCTGGTCAGAGTGACACACCCCAGACCATCTGCACACCTGTGTCCTGGTCAGATAGACACACCCCAGACCCTCTGCACACCCGTGTCCTGGTCAGAGTGACATACCCCAGACCATCTGCACACCTGTGTCCTGGTCAGAGTGACACACCCCAGACCATCTGCACACCTGTGTCCTGGTCAGATAGACACACCCCAGACCATCTGCACACCTGTGTCCTGGTCAGATAGACACACCCCAGACCCTCTGCACACCCGTGTCCTGGTCAGAGTGACACACCCCAGACCATCTGCACACCTGTGTCCTGGTCAGATAGACACATGCAGTCATCTATCACATAATTAAAACGGAGGAAAGAATTCATTAAAAATTGAAAGAAAATTGTATCTTAACCTTTTTGATAAACTTTGAATCAGTTTTTGTTTAGAAATTATTTTAATCTGTTTAGTTTGTCACATCAAAACATCATAAACTGCATGCTTTATAAGGAACAAGAACGATTTGCCAACGTTCTGAAGACTTGGAACTTCAAGTTCTGAGCAAGTTCACAGCTTCCATGCTTGCTGACGACCTGGGTTCTGGCTCTTAGCCTCTGTCTTCCCATGGCTTCTTACTCTAATGTGGCCTCCTGCGTATAAAGACTCCATCACCGAGATCACTGAATTACGTACCCAATGTTCTCTCCTATAGTGTCACATTGGGGACTTTGGGGTCAATATGTGAATTTGGAGGATACAAACATTCAGCCCATATAAGCCTGTCTGACCATTTCCTCCAACAAGGCCACACCTCCTAATAGTGTGGGCCTTTGGGGGCTATTTCCTTTCAAACCACCACAAAGACCTTTAAATTCGTGTGTATTTAGGCAACTGCACTTCATCTGAAAAATTAAATTACATAAATTGCTCTCAAGCATTTGTCTCCTATTGCATCTTTCGCTTTATTTTATTTTTGATGATGTGTTGGCCAGGAACAAGTTGGATGACATAGTATGAGTGTGCAGATGGTACTCCCTCATAACTTAGAATTCTGTTGTAATGTATTTTCTAGGCAGTTTCATCAGAGAGTCTGGTGATTAAGCCAAACCAAATGCTAATGGACACCTAAAGTTCTAGGGGAATTTAGTCAAATTATGTGCAGTGATATCCTATTTCATTATTTATTGCAAGTTGTATATTTGTGCTCTAATGGGTCAGAAATCTGTTTGCTTTTCCTGGATTTACATTTTGAATTTATGACTAAGTAGATCAAAGATTGGGACAGTAATGGCTACTCTTCATTGCCTGATTGCTAATGTGCCTTTGGCTCATTAGATAATACGAGTAGTGATTTAGAGCAGTGTTCAGCTTTATTCTGTCACTGATTTCCTTGGTGCTTTATGTGATTAAAAAAGAATTTCATCTCCGTTGCTGTTCCCATCAGTGAGTGATCTGCTAGTGAGGAGCCATGACATTCTCAAATATGGGCTCTACCTTAACTGTGGTTCTGAGAGTTTACTCTACCTTAACTGTGGTTCTGAGGGTTTACTCTACCTTAACTGTGGTTCTGAGAGTTTACTCTACCTTAACTGTGGTTCTGAGGGTTTACTCTACCTTAACTGTGGTTCTGAGAGTTTACTCTACCTTAACTGTGGTTCTGAGGGTTTACTCTACCTTAACTGTGGTTCTGAGAGTTTGCTCTACCTTAACTGTGGTTCTGAGAGTTTACTCTACCTTAACTGTGGTTCTGAGGGTTTACTCTACCTTAACTGTGGTTCTGAGGGTTTACTCTACCTTAACTGTGGTTCTGAGAGTTTACTCTACCTTAACTGTGGTTCTGAGGGTTTACACTAAGATGCTGGTTTTGTTCTCTTTCTCTGTACATGTTTAGTCCTTCTGTCATTCTCATAGATTCATATGTTCAATGACTCAAGTGAATTTATTTATTTTTTGTTTAGTTAGCAAGTTCCTTAAATTCTACTGTTAATGATCATATAGAACTTATGTGCTATATTAGAATAAAGTACTTTGAGTAATAAAAGTTGATATTAAACTAGCTTACTTGTTCCTGAAGGACATGTGGTGGTTGAGTAACTAAAAAATGAAGTTTTTCTTGAGGAGAACAAGTTAAACATTATATGTGGGTATATTTTATCTGTTATGTAGTAAATGTAGTATTCTCTAGAGAAATTAATAATTTGGTTCAGGAAATGGCTTCGTGGGTAAGGCACTTGCCATATAAGTGTTTGGACTTGAATTGGAGTCCCAAGAATTCGTGCAAAGTGAAGCAGAGACAGGCAATATAGCGTGAGCTTTAATCCCAGTGCCACCAGCCAGACAGCAGGCGAGGCGGGAGACTTCTGGCTCGTTTATGCACACAACAGTGAACAACAGAGTCTCTGCCTTAAACAATGTGGACAGCAAGGACTGGCACCTGGGTTTGGCTTCTGACTGCAACACACACTTCTGCTTGTACATCAGAACACACACACACACATACACAGGCACACACACAAAGAGAAATTAATACTTTTGACTTGAAGGTGACTGTACTGCATTTCAAATATTTCTTTCCCTTTTGTGCTTCCTGGTTTTGCGTCAACTCAAGCTGGCGTCATTTTGTGAGAGGGAAAATGCCCCTGCCAGAACGACTTGTGGGAAAGCCTGTGGTGTGTTTTCCTGACTGATGATTAATGTGGGGAGGTCCCGCCCACTGTGGGTGTTCCCGCTCCTGGATTGGTTGTTCTGGGCACTAGAGTAATACAGGCTGAGCAAGCCATGAGGAACAAGCCAGTAAGCAGTCTTCCTTGATGGCCTCTGCTGTTCCTGCCCTGACTTCCTTTGATGATGCACTATGATGGGGAGGTGTAGGAGGAAATAAACCCTTTCCTTCCCAAGATGCTCTTGAAGGCCTTGGTGTTTGATCCGTGGAGTAAAAACCATAAATCAAACGCTTGCATGCCTGTGTGTATGCATGTGTGTGTGTGTGTGTGTGTGTGTGCGCGTGCGTGCCTGTGCCTGTGCATGTGTGTGCATGTGTGCATATACTGTGTGTGAAGGGTCAGAGGACAATGCACAGAATCTGATCTTTCCTTCTCTATGTTCTGAGCGTTGAGCTAAGGTTGTCAGACTTTGCAGCAAGCACCAGTGAATACTGAGCGGTCTCCCCTGCTGGTAGTGCGTTTTATAAAGGAAGTATAATATTTTATCAATAAAAATTGGGTGCATGCTCCTTAAGCTACCTGAAATATATTTTTATAATAGTTAATATGAGAGAGTTGTATCTTTTTTTTTTTTTTTAACTTTTAGCATTAGTGGCTGAATAGTAGAATTTACCGGTCCTGTAGAGGAAGGTTGGATATAAGCAGTTCTCTACATAGACACTAGCAAGATTGGGTGTGTTGGTCAAAATGTTTATAGAGGTCCCTTACAGTATTTTTCTGGTGCATGCATTCACTCACTGAATGTCTCAAGCCCCCAGTTGTTAAGTCCGTATTCCTGAGATAGCTTTTAATCAAACAGTGTGATATTCTGTTATGAAGTACCTGAACATTGGGGTATACAAGGTATGATGCAGAGGTTTTATATGACCTTCTAGTTTTCATTGTTGGTCCCCAGCCTTTAACTTTCCATTGCCCGGAGTAGTAGACATATGCTTTTATGATGTAGTAAGATTGAAAAAATGTAATATTACAGTTTTCTTTGTAGCCTCTATGAAGAAATTATAACACTTACAGAGACATGAAGTAGTTACACCCATTATTGGTTTAAATCATTATGATAATAATTTCTTTTATCATATTGTGTAGACTTGAAACTATTTTATTAGTTATTTCAACTTCATTTTCATGATAGTTTCATTAGGACTAGAAAATTTTCATGTTATTAAGAAGTGAATTCATGCATTCACTTGATTAGAGATTTGTTTTCAGATTAATAAGAAAGTTTTCTGTTTCAAATTTGAAATTACATAATTTTCTCAGTAGCCTCCAGTTTTAGGAACTCATTACAATTCTAGAAACAAGTTTGCCATCGTAAATGAAGAAAAAAAATGCAGGAAGCAAAAGTCAGTAGAGCTCATTTAAGCAAAGAACAACCCATGAATTGTACAGTACGCTCAGCCATTAGAGATTCAGGGAACTCCTTCCAATTTCCCCTAAGACCAGACAAAAGACATGTAACCAAAAGAAATAAATATTAAGAAGCATAACAAAAGTGTAAATGATGTATACAAGAACAGTTTAGTTTGTTATGGTGGCATTTGCCTTGTGGACATGGACTTATCCTTGGCATGCTGTGGTTGGTAACGCTTGCCTGCTGTGGTTGCGTCAGACTTAATATCTGTTAAAGCATATTCTTATCATCATATATTGGTTACACACCAAGTCATATCGCAGTTTACTATGTAGAATCGTAGACTTAAGCCCAATTTAATTCAACACTCATGTCATAACTAAGGGAAATTATGATTCAATAGAATTGGGTTTGGAGATAGAAGCATTTTAAAGTTCAGCAGGGGCTTAACATTTTGTGATGTTTAAGAATCCAAGTTTGTCCAACTGTAAAAAAAAATAACATGTTTTTTCTTTCAATTTTCTAGTCTGTCAGAAACTACACCAAATGCCATGTAAGAAACGAGCAGATCTGTAACAAACTTACGAGCTGTAAAAGCTGCTCGCTAAACTTGAACTGCCAGTGGGATCAACGGCAGCAGGAATGCCAGGCTTTGCCAGGTAAATATTTCATGATTTGATAAAGTGAGGTTTTTACTCTGTAGAAAATAATGTTATATCATCATCTATGGTATAATGAGAAGTCACTAGGAGTCAGTAACCTGTCCATGTAGCAAAATAATAGCAGTGGGTTCTCCCCTAGGGCCTGTGACTTGTGTGGGTACAGGTTCTTGGACAAGTAATGGTCTTTTGGAGTGGGACATAGATCCAGTCAGGAAGTGATTGGTCCTTCCTGTGACAGTCATGCTCACTGTTGTACCAGTGGGTCTTTTGCTGGGACAGACGATACCGTAACTCAGAGCTCACAGTTGGGTATAGCTTCTTCCTCTGAAGTGTTCACAGCACATTCTAGAGCTAGCTAGGGCAAGGGAAAGCTAGCCAGTTTGATGAGTCCCCATGATTTCTATGACTCAGGCATGTGGCCTCGTCAGCAGCAGGGTCTCACTGTCGTGTTCTGGGGTGAAGAGCGATGGCATTACCTATACTGTTTGGGTGTCTGCGGGACCTCACTGGTCAACAATTCCAAAAGAAGTAACCATTTCTGACTCTGGGCTTTTCATTTGTTAGTTTTTGGTATGTGGTAGGGACATTGTTACCCAACTTAAGGTAACTTCATCTCTCTCTCTCTCTCTCTCTCTCTCTCTCTCTCTCTCTCTCTCTCTCTCTCTCTCTCTCTCTCTCTCTCTCTCTCTCTCTTTCTCTCTGTGTATCTGTAAGCTTCTATGGTAGTAGATTTCCATGACGTTAAAAAAATTTAGTGTTATTTATCTCTCTCCAAACTACCTCCTCCACACTACCTTTCACCCCCCCACCCCAGTTAAACCCTCCTTGTTCCATTTTTTCTCTTTAAATCTTGTATAACACTGAGCACCGTCTCTCCTCCATTGAAAGCCCCTCTTCATGGCTCCTTAGTAACTCCTGACCTCTGTGGGAATTCCAGAATAAGCACACACACACACACACACACACACACACGCACACACACACACACCCCTAAGGATTCAAAGCTAACATCCACAAACGGGAGAAACATGCATCATTTGTCTTTCTGGGACCGGCTAACCTCATTCAGAATGATCGTTTCCGGCTCCGTTTGTTGACTTTCCTCTTTCTCGAAGACTGAATAATGTGCTATAGTGTCAGCATACCACCTTTTCCTCTGATGGCTAGGGATGTTGAACATTTTTTTTAAAAGAAGTTTCTCAATTGTTTGCTTTTCTTCTTTTCAGAACTTTATTTAGATTAGTGCCCTGGTTTGTAATGGTTCATTTGTTTTCTTGATCTTTAATTTGACTTGTTTATGTATTCTAGATACTAATCCTCTGTCAGATGTGTAGCTAGAAAACTTATTTCTCCTTGGTAGTCTGTCTCATGACTTGTGATGGGGTCCTTTGCTGTAAGAACATTCTTAGTGTCATGAGGTCCATTTACTAACTGCTGATTTTAATGTCTACACTGCTGTTTCCCTGGTTTTCAGTCTGTCAGTTGCATATAGGAAGCCTGCTGATAACTATATATTGATTTTTATACCTCGCTACTTTGCTGGACCTGTTTCTTGTCTGTTAAGGGTTTTGAAGAGTGTTTTTAGGCGTGTGTTTCCTTCGCCGATATGTTGCCCTTGCTAATACATCAACACTGTATTCCACAGAAGTGGAGGGCCCAGACACTCACCTTGACCCTGATTTCAGTGGAATTGCTTTGTGTTTCCCTGTTTAGTCTGTTGTTGGCTGAAGATTTGTTGCATGTAGCCTTTAGTATATTGAGAAATGCTCCTTTAGCAGTATTGGATTTTTCAAAGGCTTTTTCTGCATTTGCTGAGATGATTGTGTGATTTCTGTTTTGCAATCCATATATTAGTTACTTTTCCACTGATGGCGTAAAGTAACACGGCCATGGAAAACTTATGTTAGAAGGAGTTTATCTGATTATGTTTCCAGAGAGATGAGAGTGAATCATGGCAGGGATTATGTATGCCCGACAGCAGGAGCAGGAAGTTGAGAGCTAAAAAAAGAAAAAGAAAAAGCCAGCAAAAGCTGGCAAAATAAAGCAAAAACAAGAGGGTGGTGGGAGGCTTGTGTTCTTACAGCTCAATCTCCGTGATGCACTTCCTCCCCAGAGAGCTCCATCACCTGAGAACCAAGTGTTCAGATGTCTGCGTCTTCCGGGAACTTCCTCATTCACACAGTCACACTCTGTCCCCTGGCTCCCGAAGCCCTACGGCAGTATCCTAATATTAGCAAAATGCACTTAGTTCAGCTTTAAACGTCTCTGTGGTTTTTCATAGTCTCAGCACTGTTTAAAAGTCCAGAGTGTCTTCTGAGGTTCAGGACAGCCTCTTAACTTTAACCTCTGCAAAATCAGAGAGACGATCACATTCTCCCGTCCACAGAGCGTGTGTGCTGGGAGGCCGAGGGCGCAGCAAGGAGACCCAGGGCCAAAGCGAGTGCTCAAATGCCGGGGACTCTGGAACGCATTTTCCGCCTAAATCACCACAGTGTGAAACCACCCACCCGTAATTTAACAGGAAATCTGCAGCAGGGTTAGAAGTGATTTGGTGTTTTGAGTCCCGTAAGACCAGGAAGACAGCGGCATGTGTGGCCTCAACCCAACAAGAAAGCCATTCTGACTTCACTAAGTGATAACAGCTTTGTGAGGGACTTCTGTGACCCAAGCAGATTGCTCCCGGGACCCAGAACATCGGCTGTCAGTGAGCTGGGATCCACAAGGCCGTTTAGTGTGTATGTGAGGTCAGAGCACGTGGTGTGAGCATACACTTCATTTCGAGTTTTCATTCTGCTGTGTCTACTGTGGGCTCTTGATAGGCCATGAAGCCCAGCATCTTGAACCCTGGTGTCACCACTCCATATTGGGTCACACTGGATCTAAGGCTGTTTAGAAAAGTTGGCACTTAATAAAAGGCTTTTTGAGTACTCGGTAACAAAAATTAGTTGGAAAGGAAATGCTTAATGAATCTGAAATATTTTGGCAGCATCTTTACTGAATTCTGTGACCTCACTGCAGCCTGAGTTCTGACATAACCGTGGCCACTTTGCCTGTACATGTTAGCGTGTGTGTGATACCAGGGATTTTTTTATGAGACACTTGGACTATATGGTTTTTAGTGTACATACAAAGTTTTGTGATCTTATAGAAAGATAATGATTTCACTGCAGTCTTTTAAATATTTGGCCATTGTCATTTCTCAGCATGTGAATTTTAAACTAGTATTTCTTTGCATTGCATTGTGTGTGATGGCATCATTTAAAAATTGCTATTTGAGTTGCTGACTTTTCATAAAGGATTTTAATGAACTTTGATAGAATTTAGAACAGATTTGTAGCAAATTCTAAATTGTCCTTAAATATACTTCTGCCCTCTCATTCTACATAATTGTGAGAAATGGTGCTCTCAACAATGATGATTGTAAGTTTAAAATAGCTGTTAATGCTGAAAAACATTGGAAATATTCTGTCCCAAAGTATCAGGTGTTCAGTTATGATTTAATTATTTATGTGTTAATAATCAAATGTCTGTCTTATTAGTATGAAAATTTATTTTTGTCTTTGATAAATGGCAAAATTATATTAAATTTTTACAAATAAGATTTGTTTTGATTTATTATCAGCAACTGTTTAGGTTATAGACTATACCCATGCAATTAGGGCCATGCAAATTTTTTCTAAGCAAAAAGAACTTGTATTAGTTACTTGTCTGTTGCTATGCCAAAATATCATCACCAAAAGCCACTTGAGGAAGAAAGGATTTATTTTGTCTTAAGGTTCAAAAGGGTGTGCGTCCACAATAGCAGGGGAGGGAGGCATGACCTCTGTCAGCAGGAGATGGTCTCCTGTCTGTAGAAGCAACAGGAGAACACGGTTTAGGAAGCCTTGTTCAGTAGCACACAGTCTCAGTTGGCTAAATGCAGAAGCAGATAAGAAAATACAGTGTTTATGTCTGAAATTAAAGAGATTTGTGAAAAGGTAAAACAAATCCACGAAGCTTGTTTCAAATTTGATTTGTGTAATAAAAATAAATCCCCTCATGCTAAGTTTTCTTCCACCCCAATTATATTATGAGAAAACTTAAGTATGTAGTGCATGGAAAAACTTGGCAAAGACACCCAAGTCCTACTCGGAAGAAGCTTCATATAACACCTCTTCCGTATCATCTTTAAAACTGATGGCCGGGTCCCCTGTGTCCATCATTCTCCCGTCCTCTGTGTCCATCATTCTCCCGTCCTCTGTGTCCATCATTCTGTCCCCTGTGTCCATCATTCTCCCGTCCTCTGTGTCCATCATTCTGTCCCCTGTGTCCATCATTCTGTCCTCTGTGTCCATCATTCTGTCCTCTGTGTCCATCATTCTGTCCTCTGTGTCCATCATTCTGTCCTCTGTGTCCATCATTCTGTCCTCTGTGTCCATCATTCTCCTGTCCCCTGTGTCCATCATTCTCCTGGTCCATCATTCTGTCCCCTGTGTGTCCATCATTCTGTCCCCTGTGTCCATCATTCTCCTCTCCCCTGTGTCCATCATTCACTCTGTCGCCTGTGTCCATCCATTCATTAGCACATCTTAGCTTTTGGACATCAGGGGACCTCACTTGAATTGTCAGAGGTTCTCAGGGTTTTGGAGGCATGATGTCTCCAACAGGTCTTTACATAGACAAAGTGAAGATGTCCTAATGTCCAGAGAACTGCATATGTAGAGGGACTTCAATTTAGTATTCTATATTAATAGATTTATTTAAAACAATTAATCAATTTATGTAATAGTGTAGCAAGAAAGATGAAGGTGACCCTCATAGTTTTGAAAGTTAAAGACCACAAGTTTGAGAAGTCCTGCCTTAAACAAATTCTGTGAGCATCTCAGTACTGCTTGAAGGCTATTTTTATAAAGGAAGAGAGAAATTATGTTTCATATGATGGGAACACTAAAATGTTCTAGAGAATAGATACTTTTCAAAACTCAATATAGTTTCAGGATCAGATACCATAGCTGAATAGTGTTTTTGATGTCTAGAAAGACATGAAGAAGTGTGTAAAAATATGTCAGAAATCAATGGTTTATTTCACTTATCTTCCTTTTCTCATTTTTATTAGTTCTTTGAAGATCTTTTACAGTGCATTTTGAATATAGTTCCTTGTCCAGCTCCTCCAAGGTCCATTTCCCTTTCTCAATCCACTAAACTGTGTTTTCTAAAAAAGATATCAAGTCCAATTTTTGCTGACCTTGTACTCTTGGATCAAGGTCAACCGACCAAGGCCTTCACCCTTAGAGGAAACTGACTTCTGAGCATCTGTGAGCTGCCTATAGCTCCCTAACCAGAGCAGCTGCCTCTCACACTGAGTTCTCATGGCGTGTGTTTGCACACTCCAGCTCTCTCACTCTGAGTTCTCATGGTGTGTTTGCACACTCCAGCTCTCTCTCTCACTGAGTTCTCATATCGTGTTTGCACACTCCAGGCCCCCTCACTCAGAGTTCTCATGGTGTATGTTTGCACACTCCAGCTCTCTCACACTGAGTTTTCATGGTGTGTGTTTGCACACTCCAGCTCTCTCACACTGAGTTTTCATGGTGTGTGTTTGCACACTCCAGGCCCCCTCACACTGAGTTCTCATGGCGTGTGTTTGCACACTCCAGCTCTCTCACACTGAGTTCTCATGGTGTGTGTTTGCACACTCCAACTCTCTCTCTCTCACTCTGAGTTCTCATGGTGTGTTTGTACACTCCAGCTCTCTCTCTCACTGAGTTCTCATGGCGTGTGTTTGCACACTCCAGCTCTCTCTCTCTCACTCTGAGTTCTCATGGTGTGTTTGCACACTCCAGCTCTCTCTCTCTCACACTGAGTTCTCATGGTGTGTGTTTGCACACTCCAGCTCTCTCACACTGAGTTCTCATGGTGTGTTTGCACACTCTAGGCCCCCTCACTCAGAGTTCTCATGGTGTGTTTGCACACTCCAGCTCTCTCTCACTCTGAGTTCTCATGGTGTGTTTGCACACTCCAGCTCTCTCACTCAGAGTTCTCATGGTGTGTTTGCACACTCCAGCTCTCTCACTCTGAGTTCTCATGGCATGTTTGCACACTCCAGTCCCTCTCACACTGAGTTCTCATGGTGTGTTTGCACACTCCAGCTCTCTCACAGAGTTCTCATGGCGTGTGTTTGCACACTTCTTGTGTGCAGGCTTGCAGCTGTGGTGTGCTTTCTTGCCTGCAAGGGTGCCCCTGAAATCACTGTGCAGCCCAGAATGACCTCAGACTTCTAACAGTCCTCCTGCTGCAGCCTCCACAGGAGATCATTTTCATGTAAAAGAACCACTCTTAAAGTTCTTTATCTATCTAGTGATTCAATACCTAAGAGTACACATTTTTTCTCTGTTCTTTTTAAAATTCTGATTTCTTGTTTGTTTTCTTTCTTTCTTGAGAGAGAGAAAGAGACAGAGTGAGTGTGAGAGAGAGACAGAGACACACAGAGAGAGAATGGGGTTGTGTAGGTGGGGAAGTGGGAAGGATCTGGGCGGAGTCAGGGGAAGGAGAAACTACGATCAGAATATATTGGGTGAAAAACAATATTTTCACTTAACGTGTATAATGAAATGAATGATATATGGTCTGAGTTAAATAGTAAGCCCCTACCAGGATGGAGATATGGAGTGGGAGAGGGGGTGGGAAGGAGGGAGGAGGGGACAAAGGGGGGAAGAGGCAGATAAATAATAGCACTGTAATTAAAATTGTGTCTGCTTGTGAGGCAAGCAAACATCAGATTGTAATGAGCCTGCTGTGCTGCTCAGATGGGCCTGGTTCTAGATTCTTCACTAGTAAGGCAGCAGGTTTCTTTCTTTTCTAGTTAAAACCATTGCCTCCCTCCCTCCCTCCCTCCCTCCCTCCCTCCCTCCCTCCCTCCCTCCCTCCCTCCCTCCCTCCCTCCCTCCCTCCATCCCTCCATCCATCCCTCCTTCTCTCCCTCTTACTATCTAGCTCAGCCTGTCCTGGAACTCACTCCACAGTGCAGCTGGGCCTGGAACAGCAGTTGTTCTGTGTCTGCCTCCCCAGTGCTGGGTTGTGGGCCTGGTTCATCGAGCTCAGCTTGGCTGGCTTTTCTCCTATCGCGATCTGACCGCAGCCGTCTGCACTCGTACCCTGTCCTCCAGCTTAGTGTTTTCCTGAGCTGCGGCCCAGCGGGTCTGAGACCCACACCTTCTCTTGCCTCTTCCTCCCGTTGCTTCATCTTGTCTTGTCCTACTTTGATGTGACAGCTTTTCTTCATCTTAGATGTCATTTTGAATGGATGAAAACCTAGCCAGTAGGGTAAAGGAGTTTAGCAACTGAGCTGTTCTTATACTTGCTGGGAGAGTGAGAATCAGTTTTCTCCAATGGAGTGACACTATATACCAACTACTCCAGGGCAGGGCTCATGCTCAGGAGTACTTGACCGCATAGTGGATTCCACAGGTTTGTTTTGGTTTCTTATTTTGGTGTGTGTGTGTGTGTGTGTGTGTGTGTGTGTGTGTGTGTGTGTGTGTGTGTACATGCACACGCGTGTGGGTGCTTTTATTTGGCTACAGTTTAGTGTTTTTTTGTTTGCTTTTTTGTTTTTCCTTTTGGGTAGTTCTTTTATTTTGTTTTCTTGGTTTTGTGGGAAACTTAAACTTGGGTGGTTAGAGAGCAGGAGAGAATCTGGAAGGACTTAGGGAGGGGGAGAATATGATCAAAATATATTTAAATTTAAAATTATTTTGAATAATTAAAAAGTAATCTGATCTTTTGTAGCCTGGAATTAGACAACTATAGTAGTAATTTTGTTTTTTTGAGAGGTCATATGCTGAAGCCCTATATTTCACAGCAATCTTTGTAGTCAATGTACATAATAGGTGTTGGAGAACCTATGTTGTTTAAGAATTCAGGAAAGGCCGGGCATGGTGGTGCACTTTAATCCCAGCACTAGGGAGTGTGTGGCAGATGGATCTCCATGAGTTCAAGGCGAGCCTGCTCTACATAACAAGCCGGTCTCAACAAAACATACAAAGGAATTTGGGAAAGAATTAGGATCTTGTGTTTACTCTTCAGCAAACCATTATATTAACTTTATTTGGGATATTAGAAGTTTTGAAATATTCTGTTGAAAAAATTAGATTAACAGTGGTTGTATCTATAATTTTGAAATAATCATTAAAGAACCACACCTTTTTGTAATGTAAAAGTAAGGTGCATTTCTTTCTTTGCCTAGCTCACCTCTGTGGGGAAGGCTGGAATCATGTCGGGGATGCTTGTCTTCGAATCAATTCCAGTAGAGAAAGTTATGACAATGCAAAGCTTTACTGCTATAATCTCAGTGGAAATCTCGCTTCTCTGACAACTTCCAAAGAGGTGGAATTTGTGTTGGATGAAATACAGAAGTACACACAGCAGGTAAGTCCTGCCTGGGGGTCTTCAGGCGATGGGCGTTCGCGATGTCTTCAGGAGATGGGCGTATGCAATGTCTTCAGATGGCAGGCATACGCAGTGATCCCTGCTCTGCAGAAGTGATTCATTCTTTTTGTCTTGTAAACGTTTATCTGAAGGATATTCACTTATTACACACCTATGAAAAGCCGCCAGTGTACTTGGCGGTCCCCTGCTCTATGAGAACCCAGCGATGCACTATTGCGCTCTCCTCAGACAATGAGGCAGAGAAAGAGACAAGAAGAGTTGTTCTCCAGTGTGGTAACTGCAGTTACGGACACACTCAGGGTGCTTCGTGACGATAAGACGGACAGCTAGTCATAACGTGAGCTTATGGAACAGTCCTGGAGAAACACCGTAGCCAGCATTTGCAGTACTTGGAGCTTTTTAGAAGGGAGCTGGGAAAGCCCTGCAGTTTTTTTTTTTTTTCTCAGCTTGTCTTTGAGAGCTTCCAGCATAACGGGTGGTGTGTACAATGGATGTGTTAGCGGGTTGGGGAGGTCTTTTGATATTTATGCTTTAGGAAAATGTCACAGATTTTTAAAATGAAGTTTTATTGTAAATATATGGAACACACAGATGAGATCTGCTTTTTGTTTGTGTGTGTGACATTAGAGGCTTCTCTTTCGTATACGTGTGCTTGACAGTTTACCACTCAGCACGTGAAAATTAGTGCTACTGAAATCCTGCCACTTCATAAGCATTTGATTTGCACACTCAAGGTTTTTGAATTTCAAAAACATTAGAGTTAGTCCTTGAAACTCGGTTCCATTTTCCCGTGTTTAGCACCAGTTATTTTTGGCAGTTACAAAATTGCTGCAAATCTGGTCGTTCGATTTCTGTATTTTAGGACTTCTTGTGGCTGTTAATTTCTGTTGCCTATTATTATACTCCATAAGGAGTGGACGATAAAGTCAGTTATTATAATCTGTAAGGAGTGGATGATAACCTCAGACTTGCTGGGTTGCTGAGTCACGTCATATAAATAAATGATATTCTGTTTTATCAGAAACAACTTTTCGCAGAATTTCAAAGTGGAAACTTTTTCAAGGTGACATTTCATTAGGCATATCCCCACATAAAATGAATTGTATCCTGAGTCATTGCAGGTACACAGGCTTAAGATAACCCTTCTTTGGCCAGTAAAGACCGACAGATTCATTCTTTTTAGAGAGATATATTGGGTCAAACAATCATTTACTTATCGGAAATGGCTAATGAAACGTTACAATGATTTATGGTGTAGTGCAATAAATTTTCATAATACAGTAATTTATCTTGCATTTTCAACTGCCTGTCTGGCTCATTTACTGAGTAATAGTTACTTTAAATGTCTTATCACTGGCTTCATTTTTATTTCTCTTCCTTTTTGTTCAGATTCTTATCATGATGAGTTAGGGAGTGATATTTCATTTTAAATGGTTTTTCTTTGCCACAGATAGGAAGCGTAGGGAGAATTGCCGTGACATGAAGCACATTTTAATGTGAATTTCTGTGTTGGATTGATTATCTGACTAGTGTTATTATAAAGCATGATTTAAAAGGCAGCATTTTGTTATCAAAATACCTCTCAGAAGAAATGTGTAAAACGTAATAATTCTAACATGAAGTAGCTCCTATGATTTTCTGATTAGAAACACTGTTAATGCCACCTCTCTTTCAGCATTATGCTAGATAGGATAAAATAACTTCTATTCTAAGACCCTTGTTTATTAATTGCTATTCATACTATATTCTTTTGGTAATATGGCATATTGTCATAGTGATAATTCATATGGTATTTTAATTTTATCCAAGAAATATCTATTAAGAATTCACAATGCATAATCCATTATGTTTATACACTTACATATTTAAAGGTCTATGGCTAACTTAACATCCCTAGGAACAATTTGTACATCATAAATACCGTGTATAAATAGCTTGTTTATGTTGTTAGAGAATATGATTTAGTGACATTTTTCTGTATTCTGATGTTACATATATAAAAAAATTAGGAAGAATGATGCTTTGAAACAATATTTCATCATTGTGATTGTTAAGTAGTGTAGTGATTTAGAAGACACATTATCACATGTTAAAAAGGTGCCCATAATCGCACAGAACAGTGGAACTTGGAGGCAGAGTGTATTCTTGCTTCTAACTAATGATTAAGGTAAATTATATAAATATAGAATTGATTGTGATTTCATGGTGTTTGATGATCAGTGAGGCTACTAAGAATAGATATGTGGCTTTTGTCAACTTGTGTTTATCAGATTTTCAGTGTGACAGTCAGACTTTGTCTACGAAGTAGATGACGTCAATTTTCCTAAAATTTTTATAAAAGTCCAAACATAACAGGGAAATCCCAACTGGGAAGTCCTTGTGGCACCTTTACTCAGAATGCATACTGATCTGTTAATTTTGTTTTCTGTTTGTGCACAGTGCAGATACTAGATTTAACCTAAATCCATAACTGATTAGATGGTACATCTGATAGTATTAATTGCAGAAGTAATGGCATCTTGATCATTTGCGTTTCCCCCCTTTAGTTGGTGTTTTACTTGGTTGTTTGCTTATTTGAGATAGGATTTTACTTTGTGGCCCTCGCTGGCCTGGACCTCTCTGTGAGGATCAGCCTGTCTTTGCCTCCTTGATGCTGGCAATTAAAGGCACTCTGTAGCCCCATTTTATAGGAGGGGACAAAGTGAACAAGGGCTAAAAAAAAAAAAAAAAAAAAAAAAGAAATCATTGAACCTTGCAGCTAAGCTCAAAGCCCAGTGCTTTCAAAACAGCCTTGTGGTCTCCATCATCCTCTAGATCATACTGAGGTTGTTACTGGAGGTGAAGGGGACTGGAAAGGTAGCTTTCTGTGTCCTCAGATACAGCATTTAGTGATAATGAGCTGCTTGTTGATCGGGATCATGTAGTGGTTTCACTTCTAACCACTTTCCACGCCCCATATCCTATTGTTTGTAGAAAGTATCACCTTGGGTAGGCTTACGCAAGATCAACATATCCTACTGGGGATGGGAGGACATGTCCCCCTTTACAAACACGACGCTACAGTGGCTTCCTGGTGAACCGAATGATTCTGGATTCTGTGCTTATCTAGAAAGGGCTGCGGTGGCGGGACTAAAAGCAAATCCTTGTACGTCCATGGCGGATGGCCTTGTTTGCGAAAAGCCTGTTGGTGAGTATCGTGCATCGATGTTTGTGTTTGCTTTAGCCTGTTGCCAGGCAGTTCTTTCCAGAGGGCAGGGACTGGCTAAATTTATCATGGGGTAAATTTATCCCGATCCTAAATTTCTGATGACACCCAATTCTGTTTTTTAATTGATCTTAGCCTTAACTTGTGATGGTTTATTTTTATATAATTTCTTAAACTTTGCTTACTGTTTTACAAAAATTGTAAGGATTTATTTGTGTGTATGAATGTTTTGCTTGCGCATATGTATGTGTGCCATGTTCATACCTGGTACCTGTGGAGATCGTTAGAGAGGGGTCAGAGAGGGTCAGAGAAGGTCAGAGAGGGTCAGAGAGGGCTAGAGAGGGTCAGGTCCCCTGGAGGTGGAGTTCCAGATGGTTGTGAACCTTTTTGTGGATTCTGGGGTCATCCTGGTCTTCTGCAAGAACATCAAGTGCTTTTAGATACCTAGCCCTCTCTCCAGCCCACTTTGTTGTTGGTATAATGTTTCTTTCTTGATTGTTATGGTGTTATTATGGACATGTGGTTATGGCTATAGTTTAGCAATGACTCTTAATTGGTTAGTCTTTTGCTGTTATCATGGTATGGTTTGAAGGGAAGATTTGTCTTTAAGATTAGTGACTGAATAATTTTTAATCTCACAGCTGGATTGTTTCACTTATCTAATAAAAAGAAATGCTTTTGTTACTTCTCTTGAAATTGATTTTGTCGCATGGAAAATAAGTATTTGAATGCTTTTCTTTTGAAAGCACTGTATTTTTATTGTGGTTATATACACTTCATGGAAATTTGCTGTTTTAACCCATTGTAAGTGTGCACTTCTGCAGCATTAAGTATGTCCCATTGTTTTATAGCCGTCACTACTGTTTATGTAAAACTTAGTGGTTTATTTTTGGCAAAATTAAAACTCTGTTTTTTTGAGGCAGGGTTTGTCTGTGTAGTGCTGGCTGTCCTCAACCCTGCTGGGATTAAATGTGTGTGCCACCACCACTGGCATAGCCCTTTATTTTTTAAACCAAACATTTCTTACTCTTTATGACCCCTGGAAACACTGTTACACTGTTTCTATGATTTGACTGCTTTGAGTACTGCATGTTGTGGAGTCACATCGCTTTATACTCCTGTGATTTCTTTGTTCCCTTAGCGCAGTGTCTTCAGAGCTCATCCATGTGTGATCCAGCCTGCTCACGGCTGAGAATAGTCTAATGCATTCATAGGTCATATTCTGTTTACCTTGTCATCCTCTTGTGGATAATTGGGTTAATTTCAGCTGTTTTGAGAGGTTGCTATGGCTGTGAGCATACAAATACGTCCACTTTCTGGCTGTTCAGAGCAGCATGCTATGACTGGGCTGTGATTTCCCTCCTCTGGGTACATCGTGAATGTCGATTTGATTATCATATAAAAATTCTAGGTCTGATATTTCCAAGACCTGTTTTGCTTTTCCACAGCGGCCGCTCCACTGCACGCCCCCGCTGGCAATGCGCTTCCCAGGTTTTCGACATCCATGCCAATGGCTGTTATTTATTTTTGTTGTTCTGCTTTTGAAAATGACCAGCACCCTAATGTGTGCGATAAATGCTGTATTTTTTGCATTACAATTTTATAGTAAGTTGTATGTTCTCCCTTGCTCATACCAAAGAGAAAGTCACAGGACATTTGCTTAAATAAGATATGGAACTTTTATGGAGAAACTTTTATGGGAAAGTAACTTTGGCTGTGTACTGTTGAGACACTAGAAAGAGCAGCTCTCAGACTACAGGGCTGGTTTCAGTTTAAAAAACTGTGCGCCTTACCCTTTGTGAAGAGTTAAATAAAAGGTTATGTGTTTTCAAATGCACTACTAAATTAGTGCAAATATCCACTTTTTATCATTTTCCCCATGTTCTAATGCTTCAGTCTGCTCAATTTAACTTAAAAAAAAAGTCTGACAAAACCCAAGCATTTGTGTTAAAATGAAATTACCAGGGGCCTGAAGAGGTGGCTGAGTGGATAAGAGCACTGTCTGCTCTTCCAGAGGACCTGGTCTGTATTCTCAGAACCCACACGGCCACTTGTCACCATGTGTCACGTCAGTTCCAGGGGAAATCTGAGGTCCTTTGCATCTGTTCTCTGCAGGCACCAGGCATGCCTGTGGTGGCACCCGTATATGTGGCTAAGCACCTGTCTGCACCCATCACTAAAAGTAGAGATTAGTTTAAAGAGTGAAGGTACCAAATGAAACAATTTATCTTAAAGAGCGAAGTTACTGAATGAAACAATTTAGCTTAAAGAGCAAAGTTACCGAATGAAACAATTTAGCTATTAGAGTGAAGTTACCAAATGAAACATTTGCAGTAATTACTGATCTGTCCCAGTTAGTCCAAATCAAAACGCAAGGCCGTGCAAGAAGCCGTGTTCCCTGAGGACCTCGTGCTCCAACTGTACAAGCAATGGCATGGAGTGTATGTGGTGTAGCAGCACGAAGCGGTGCGTGGACTCCAACGCCTACATCATCTCCTTCCCGTACGGACAGTGCCTGGAGTGGCAGACGGCCACCTGCTCTCGTAAGTACAGAGGGAGGAAATCCAGCCTTGGAGGGCTTTTCAAACAATGGAGAAAACGCTGCCATGGAGAGGTCTGGAAATCTGTCTGTGCCTCTGATTTTCAGGGTCTCATCATCTTGAATTACTGTGATGTTACCACTTTACCACTATGTGTGACCCAGTCCCGGAGCCCTGAGTGTAGTGTGCAGACAGCTGCTGTGTCCTGACAGAGCATCCCCTCACAGGATTTTTGGTGCCTTTAGCTACTCCTTGGCACACTTTTCGTCCCCTTGTCACCTTTTTTCTTTTTTCTTATGTGACTGGTCGTCCCGAAGAATTGACACCAGTTGTTTTATAGGGTTCTCTGTTTGTGCTTGTGCAATTATTTCTTCAACATTAGTATGATAGGCATTCCCCACCCCCCACCCCCAGACTGTCCCATCTCTGTTTCTACATGAGCTGCACATGGGGTTGTTATGCAAAGCGCCTGCAGGTGTACACTGTATAGTGAGGGTTCTTGTGGACGTGGCTAGTAGATACTGCCTGGGAAGATCAGAGCTTGTGTTAGGACAACGGCACCGAGAGACTACATAGAAGGGAGGGTTTACATAAGTGACTTAGAGCCCATTGTAGCTGGGTAGTCCAACTCTGGTGGGCCACATGCCCAGGAGGCTTAGAGCACTGTAGCTGCTCAGTGCAGAAGTTAGATGCCTCAGCGGTACTGAATGAGTGTTGAAGGCCTAGGAGATTCCTAGAGTCCCTGATCTTCAGTCCACCCTGGAGCCCTGGGATACTGGAGTCTGGTTTCTAGGAAGAATGGCAGTTGTAGCATAGACAGATGTATTTACCAGTGTGAAGCAAGGGGCGGAGAGCAGGCAGCATTGTTTTCCCTGAACCCTCTTAAAAATAATAAGTAACATATTTTAAGTAATTGGATATTTTATTTGTAAAATAAATTCAAAGGACATTATTTAAAGGAATAATATATTTCTTTCTTAATATATAGAAATTTCAGTAAAAATGAGGTTAAAATAATAATGTAAAATAGAAGCCTGAGCTTATGCCAGGCATCTTAGAAATCTGTCTGTCACTATTTTGGAGATTTCATGAATATGCATAATTAATTACTCATTTGTTTTCTTTTGTGATACTAGGGATAACTGGATTCCCATGTTCACTGAACAGCAGTTTGCCAGTGAGCTGTGCTTCCAGCAGAAATCCTTACTATTGGTTTTAAACACTGGTATTATTATTAAGCCCCTCTCCACATCCTGAGTGCTGGGAATCTGACCAGGGCTTTGTATACTCCAGACCCAATCTAAAAACTATTCTTTTCTGGACAGTTGATGTAGGTAGTTATTTTTTAAATTTGATGAATTTACTGATTAAAAGACTTGGACACATTTAGGAAGCCCTATTGAGTATTTTATAACACAGCTTTCAAAAACTCCTAAATAAAAAAAAATCATCAGTTTATTGTCCATAAGTGTAGGTGGAGTTTTTTAAGTCTTGGCAGCTGATTCCCAAATAGCCACTCAGAGGTTTTATTAATAAGAAATGCTTGGCCAATAGCTCAGGCTTATTACTAGCTAGCTCTTACATCTTAAGTTGAGCCATATTCCCCACATGTCTAGGAATGTTTTACCAAGGATAGTGTAGTTGATCTAAAGTATATCTTAAGGACCCATCTTATTTATAGTTCCTTAAAAAGATAACTCTAAGGTAAGGTTACCTTGGGTGTGAGGCAGTTTCTTTTCATCATCGAACAATTATGATTGTAATGTCACAGTTGTACCTATGGGAGGTTTGGTGGTTTTTATTATTTCTTGTTGACTTCATAGTAAACCAATACAGTTTTTAAGGCAATCATCACAACTGTCAGCCAGTATTTGAGCTACACATAATCATGGAAGTAAGGGAAATGCTTTAGATCAGGGGACTAAGGAGGGTATGGCAATGTATGAAATGTTTGGTCCCGAAGTGTCTATTGAAGGGGATTGTCATCACTTATCACTGTGCATTGGCAAGATGTGATGAGAGATGTTATTTTGTAAATATGTCTCTCTTTGGTTAATGAATAAAGCACTCTTGGCCAATAGGGAAGCAAGATAGGTGGGACTAGAAGTCGAAGAGTATTTTGGGAAATGTAGTGAAGAGAGAGTTTTCACCATGTGATCACAAGAAGAGGATGCATGAGGCTGCGTCCTTGGAAAGATAAGTCCTTATAAAAATGTATATTAGTAATTATGGGTTAATGATTAAGTCAGAGCTAGCCGATTAGAAGACATAGCAAACGCCAACAGCTTCATAATTAATACAGCGTCTTGTGTGTTATTTGGGGGCTACAGCACCAACGGGACCCGGGCAGGAATCCAGCAACAAAGATGTAACTTCCCACCTTTTACTAAAGTCGTTTCTTTTCTCTTACAATATATCCTGATTACAGTTTCCCGAGGCTTCTAAGAGATGACAGCCAAGCATGGCAAAATAAAATATAGTAAGGTAACACAAAACCCATCCCATCGAGGCTGGATAAGCCAACCCGACGGAAGAAAAAAAGCATTAAGAGCAGGCACAGAGATCCTCTTGTTCACACACTCTGTAGTCCTGTAAAATACCAAAGCTGAAAGCTGTAAAGTGTATGCGGAAGACCTGGTGAAGACCTGTGTAGGTCCCGAGTTTGCTGTTTCAGCCACTCTGAGTCCGTATGGGCCTCGCTTGGTTGCTTCAGAGCCTTTGTTCTCCTGGTGTCCTCCATCCTCTCTGGCTCTTACAATCTTTCCACCTCCTCTTCTGCGGGGTTCTCTGAGCTCTGAGGGAGGGATTTGCTGGAGACATTCTCTTTAGAGCTGTGTGTTCCAAGAGCCCTGGAAGATACTACTTTGGAAAAGAAAACACTCACACCTATGAATTATCTGTTTAGAAAGTTAAAGAAGTGAACGCTGTATTTTATTTTCAATATGATTTGAGATGGTTCGTATCTACTGCTTTCTAAAACCTAGTCTCCAAGGCTCTTGGTCTTCAAACACCTGACAGCAAGTAAGATCCTCAGTGAATTCTTGAATCTAACATTTTGCTGTTGAGTTTTTGACGTTTACCAAGTCAGTTCCCTGATGACCCGTTATGGCAAGATACTCAGGAATCTTTAAGTATGGCCTTAATTTTTTTCTGTGTTATGGTTACCATGTTTTGTTATTTTCCCTTTCAATATCCAATTCAATTCATCTTCTCTTTGCTCATGACCTGTATTATGTGTGCACGTGTACATATTTATTCGTGCATATATATATGTGTGACAAATTGTTCCTATCTGCCAGGTATTTATGCAAATTATTTCTACTAACTGAAGATGGCATTCTAATGTCTTTCTTCTTACAACATTTTTTTTTCCTGAAGCGTGCAATTCTGCTTGGTTACAAAATCGTTTTGTTTTTAATGCTTCTGTCCTGCAGCTCAAAACTGCTCTGGGTTGAGAACCTGCGGCCAGTGCTTGGAGCAGCCTGGGTGTGGCTGGTGCAATGATCCCAGTGATACTGGGAGAGGGTACTGCACCGAGGGCTCCTCGCGGGGACCGATGAGACTGGGTGGAGCCCATGGCCACGAGGTGGCCCTTGACACCAGCCTGTGCCCCAAAGAGAAGAACTACGAGTGGTCGTTTATCCAGTGTCCAGGTAACAGAAACTCTTGTTTTCTCCATGAATGCACTGCTGTATTTCACTGCATTATTATACTGCCTTGTAATTCTCCTGCTCTTCAGTGTTTCCAGTAAACCTCGCGGTGAGTATGGATATTATATACGGAATATCCACAGTGGATTCATGTGACCTTATTTTGAGAGCCACCATTGATATTCACTACTATTCAAATTTGAAGGTCACTGGGTTTTTCAGGGGCTCTCTTCACATTTCTGTATTCCTTATTCTGTGCTTGTTTGGAAGGAAGTTGAAAGTTTAATTTATTCAGTGCATGTTTTCTGAGTACCCTCTGTGTAGTAAAAGAGTATATTTCGTGGTTTAGGCGCTAGAAACATAGTTGATAAATTGGCTTAAAAAATCACTACACCCATGGAGAATACATGTTTATTGAAATAAGTGAAATTTACGAGGTTATGTGGAGATGAATACTAGTAAATGAAAGCAGGGGACTGAAGCTTGCTTTTTAGAAAGCAAAGCTTTGCTGCGGTTTAACACTGATTAAAGCCCGAAGGAGAAGAAGAAATGTTTCATGACTGGAATGCCTGCCTGTGTGGCGAGCTACAGAAGAGGTGACAGGTACATGAAGGAATGAGGAGAACTTAAACATGGAGATAGAAAGTCAATAATATGTGCTCTGTTAGGCTGGCTACCACACAGGAGTGTGGTGCTCAGGCCCAGCGGGGACTTGGGAAGAGCCATGGCGAATGCCCGTAAGAGCCGCTCCCCGAGGCTGGTGCTTACCTGCTTCTCCATGCCTTCCTGGTGCCACGGGACGAAAACCCCACATTTCGGAGCTGACCCAATGAGCCTGATGATTAGCTTCCTCGGGACCAGTGACAGCTGAGGCAGTAGGGTTGAGAGCTACCCAGACGACTCTTGAGATGAGATGCTCGCACTGCAGCACAGAGCAACAGAGAACAGAAGACTCTTTGGATGAGATGCTCACGCTGCAGCGTGGGGCCACAGAGCCCAGTGAAAGTAGAAAAAACAAAGCAAGGCAATCAAGGGGCTGGAACCACAGAGTGCCCTGTCTGCACTGCAGTGCACTTGCAGAGATGGAGCCGCATGCCCTGTCTGCAATGCAGTGTAATTGCAGACATGGAACCCCATGCCCTGTCTGCACTGCAGTGTAATTACTTACGGAGAGATGGTTTAAAGACCATCTGAAACAGACTAAGGTGTGTGGATGGAAACTTTGGTAATTAGTCAGGAGGAGGCAGAGATTGCTTTTTCCTGAATAACACGTAAAGTTTGAGGAGGTGTGGAGGCTCTCTACGGCTCTGTAGGCAGTGCGTGGCTGTGCATTTGTCCAAATCCACAGTGCATTCTTGGGATGTAGTTCAGTGATAGATCGCTGCCTCATACTTACAGGTTGTTGATTCAGTGCCTAATACTGTAAAGCTAAAGTAAACACAGTTCACACCTATGTACCACAAAATGTGAAATTTACTGTGTGTAATAAAGCCATCCCACTTAAGATAATGCAAATTATCAGAAACGAATCTGACTGTGCTATGGGATCTCTCTCTGTTTCTCTGTCTCTGTCTCTCTCACACATACATACACACACATATGTGACTTTGATTATTACCTTGGAAAATTGTTCGTTTGTTTTTTTTACTGTATAGTTAAAGGCTACAGAAAAACCTTTACATAAAACTGTTCTATCCTGAGAGAGAGAGCGAGAGAGAGAAAGAGAGAGAGAGAGAGAGAGAGAGAGAGAGAGAGAGAGAGAGAGAGGTGGAGGAGGGAGGGAGGAGGCAGTAGGGAAGATAGAGTTATATTAAAGCCAGTCTGAAAGTCTGAAATGGGTCAAACCCAGGAAACAAAATAAGCATTTGAAATTATTTCTCTCTCTGTCTCTGTCTGTCTGTCTGTCTGTCTGTCTCTCATATACACACATGCACATGCACATGCACACACACACACAAAATGCATGCTCACATGTGTGTGAAGTAGAAAAAGACTACATGTGAAGAGGGAGCTTTGTGAGGGGAGGGGTTGAAGGTGATGTGGGTTATATGATCAAAGTATCTTTTTTTTGTTTTTCGAGACAGGGTTTCTCTGTATTGTTTTGGAGGCTGTCCTGGAACTCACTCTGTATACCAGGCTGGCCTCGAACTCACAGAGATCCGCCTGCCTCTGCCTCCCGAGTGCTGGGATTAAAGGCGTGCACCACCAATGCCCGGCTATGATCAAAGTATCTTATTTATGGATGAAAATGTATAATAAATCCCTTGTTATGTACATTTAATATATGCTAATAAGTCAATATAGAAACAAAATAGGGCATTTTGTCAAAGTTGTAAAGTCCACCTAAAGTCCTTAATTTTGATTATAGTGTTATACTATTAATTAACTAACATTTCTTAATTTTGCTAAATGTTGGGGTAAGATAACTAATATTTGGTATGAATTACCTTGTTTTACTTTTATACTTCTATAAATATAAAATTCTGTAAATCAAAAATTTAAAGTACAATTTCAAAAACACATACCAGTTTTACAACTGTAGTCAGAGGAATCCTATAGAAAGGAAAAATGTAGTTATTGGAATTGAAGACCGGTGAGTGCATTCGTAGGTAAAATGTGCAAGACAGACTCAACAAAGTAGAAAGAAGATAAGTGCTAAGAAGCAATTCAGTGTTCAGGAGAAGCAGGCAGAGATAAAGATGCAGGGAGCGACGGGGGTCAGAGAGTGAAGAGTTCTGAGTACACTCAACAGCAATTCTAAGACACCAGAGATCACGTTTCTCTCTCCATGTCTTCCTCTTCAGCAAGTCCTCAGATCACATACCTCTTCCAGTTTCCAGTTTCCAGTTTCCAGTTTCCAGTTTCCAGTTTCCAGTTTCCAGTTTCCAGTTTCCAGTTTCCAGTTTCCAGTTTCCCTCCCTCCCTCCCTCCCTCCCTCCCTCCCTCCCTCCCTCCCTCCCTCCCTCCCTCCCTCCCTCCCTCCCTCCCTCCCTCCCTCTCTTCCTCCCTCCCTCCCTCCCTCCCTCCGAATAACCCACTAAGAGGGCTGGAGAGTACTGCTTCCCCCAAGGTCTGGGTGGGATTCCAAGCACACGGGGCAGCTCACAACCACCTGTAACTCCAGTTCCAGGGGATCCAGTGCCCTCCTGTGGCCTCCAAGGGAACTGCACACATGTGCTGCACAGCCGGCAAAATACCCATAGCCTAAAATAAAGTTTTGATGAAAAAAAAAAAGAGTACGTGGCTTTTTAAAGTCTAAGACATTGACTGTCTAGTCCCTTGCTGTAGCAGTAGCAATAAAATCCCAGAGACAGATATTAGGGTTCATGCTGAAGATCAGAGAAGCAAAGTGGGCAAGCCGCCAGAGGGCTCTCACCTCTACCAATGCTCAGACCGAAGGGGCAATCCACCCAACCTGAGATGGCATCTCCAGGCTGCACTGCTGCTCACCAAACCTCAGACTGCTCCTGAGACCGCACTGAGCTCCATATATTCTCTCCAGTGCCAGGATCAAATGTGTGATTTCCCTTTTAGATTGATTCACTCTCATGCAGCCCAGGGTGGCCTTGAACTCATGGAGCTCCGTCTGCCTCTTTCCCCTGAGTCCTGGGATTAAAGTGGTATGCCACGATTGGCAAATTTCCATGACTAACTAGTGTGGTTGGCTTTGCCTTCTGATCTTGAAACCATGCATCATTTTAGTCCCAGAAAATTTCTTTCTTTCTTTTTTTTTTTTTTGGTTTTTACGAGACAGGGTTTCTCTGTATTGTTTCGGAGGCTATCGGTCCAGCCCAGCCTCGAACTCACAGATACGCCTGCCTCTGCCTCCCGAGTGCTGGGATTAAAGGCGTGCACCACCACCGCCCAGCCAGAAAATTTCTTTTTATTTGAAGGTAGGCTACATATTGAAAAAGGTATTGGGCAAGCTTTTTTTCCTCCTTGATTGTCTGTGTAAACATGTTGGAAATTTCCTAATAATGCCATGAAGATATTTTTAAATGCTGCACATCTGTTTATAGAGAGCCCATATTTTCAGATCTCTGTGCATTATTTGCATATCAAATGATGAATTTGTCATTATGTTTTATTTGTGATTTTTTTTCTTTCCTGTTTGCATTTCCATAAATAAGGAGCCATCTGGGGGTAGATTTTAAAATGTAGCAAAATAAAATAGATGGATCGCCTTTAGTTTTATTTGTGTTCTATAGTTATGTTGATATTGGAGCACTTGAAATATCAGTTATCCCGGGAGAATTACTCAGTGTCAGGTTATGTTACCTCTTGATGCAGTCTGGTGGGAGCGTTAACTAAAGCATAGGCCTGCGAGCGTAGCCTCCCTTCTGTGTTTGATACGGCTGGTGCGCAGGGGTCCATTTCCTTACAGCATGCCTTGTCCTTTGCCTTTTATAGTATGTTAGGTGTAAGCTCTGACAGTTGCCAGCACCCTCCATCCCCGGAGTTCCTCCCTGCAGTTGGTTCTAAATTACATCATGTCTGGGTGGTCCAGCCTCTTTATTAGCGCCCCCCCCTTATCAGCGGCCATGTGGGGTTGGATCCAAGAAGTAGGTTTCTTGGCTGCCCTTGGGTTTTCATCATTCAGACAGCAGAGGTTGACTGGCATTTGGCCAGCGGTGTTCTTCTAAGGCGAGGAGGTGGCATTGATCAGTCCTGTGTTCTTTGTGTGGCTATTGCCACACTCAAATGGCTGCTGTTGTAGGAACATGTATGCTCTTGCAGTCATAATCTGTGTAGGGTTGGAAATGTGAGAGTTGAATTCATCCTTCTTATTCTGAAGCAAGTGCTTGAAACCCAATAATGTTCTCGTGCGGTTTGAAATCCCACAAAGTCATGATATCCTGTTCGTTATTTTGCTTCCTCTGGCAATTTATGCAGAGTGGCTACTCATTTTTTTTTTAACCTGAGTGAGTTAAGTATGCATATGGCATAAATCTACAAATTCCCCCTTAACTGTTTAAGCATAATAGTAGAAGTTTTGATAAGTGTTTTTTAAATTTTTTTTCTAAAGATATTTCTTCTTTTTCTTTCAAAGATTTATTTATTTTGTATACAGTGTTCTGCCTGCATGTATGCCTGCAGGCCAGAAGAGGGCACCAGATCTCACTATAGATGGTTGTGAGTCACCATGTGGTTGCTGAGAATTGAACTCAGGGCCTCTTGAAGAGCAATCAGTGTTCTTAACCCCTGAGCCATCTCTCCAATACCAGTGTTTTTATATAAAAGAACTCCATTTTTATTGTTGGCAACTGACCATGCAGAAAAATCTTGCTGAACTAAGTTTGCCATCACTAACTAAAATGAAAGGTATATTTGTGAGTTTTAAACATTTGAAAACAAGATTGTGGTATTTTAGATTGTGGTATTTGATTTTCTTTTATCATGAACTTTTTCGTTAGATTTTTAAAAAAATTTTTAGGTGGTTTAAAAATCAACTTGTTTAAAGATATTCCTTGCTGGGTGGTTTAGGGCACATGCCTTTATTCCCAGCACTCAGGAGGCAGAAGCAGGGTGACCTCTGTGAGTTCAAGGCCATCCTGGTCTTCAGAGGGAGTTCCAGGACAGCCAGTGCCACACAAAGGAACCTTGTCTTGAAAAAAAACCATAAAAAAGATACATTTTATTCAAATTAAAAGAGTCCCATTGTCCATCTGAATAGTAAATCATTTTCTGGAAATAAAACTCTGTTGCCAGATAATTTTCTCTATTTATAGTTTGTTACTAAGTATAAATAAATTCATGATGTGTTAAGAACTTACCATCCTTTACCAAGAGCTATAGTATCTAATCTTGTTTTTATACATTTTAACGGATAAAACATTCATGTGGTTCTTTAATGATTATATTAAACCACTCCTTCATTACCTCTGGTAGTGCACCTCACCTCGACCCCTGCATCTTACAAACAGTGCAGCCCCTTGTGGCCCTACAGTGAGACGCGTTCACGTCCTGCTGATGCTTTTGGCTGCCTGTGCCATGTGTTTAAAAGCTGGGTAAAGCTCTTTGTCTTTGCTAGGGTCAGGTTTCAAAGGTGACTTCTGCTTGTAGCTGTGTGCTTCCATCTCTGTTTGGCTGCTTGTGACACCTTCTACCGTTTTCCTCAGCTTGCCAGTGTAACGGACACAGCACGTGCGTCAACAGCAACGTGTGTGAGCAGTGCAGGAACCTCACCACCGGGAAGCAGTGTCAGGACTGCATGCCGGGATACTACGGAGACCCCACCAATGGAGGGCAGTGTACAGGTAAACACGTTCTCTCCAGGCTGTGTTTGCTAACTGAAAGGAAATGAGAAGCGAGCTGTCTCTCCTGTAAAAGTCCCTAAGATCATCTCTCCTGTCCAACTTCAGTATTTCTAAAGGTAGTATATACTGATTGAAGACTGTGAGCTATAAAAGTTCTGTATATGCTTCTTTTAAACTAATACTTTTTTACTTCAAATTGAATGCATACTGGTTACAAGAAATGCAGTAAGGGTACATATATTTTCATTATTAAAGTGATCGCTGCAGATAGGTTTTTGACTGGAGATTGTTGACTTTTGGGATAACTGACAGTTGTAGAAGGGTAGATGCCTAATAGTGGGTAACGTTTCCTTTTGCACAGGGCAGCAGTCAAGGGAGTGGGCTTGGCCTGAAGCATCAGTTCTGTCACTGTTATGAAACCCTCTCGACTGATTTCTTTCGTTTAGCACAGCTTCCTTCTTTTTCATTCTCATTGCAGCTGTAGCCCTCTGCTTTCCTTTCCCAACTTCACGCAGGCCGCTTTTAATCCCCGCCTAGTCCTCCAGTGCCGCCATGTGCGTGTGGCTGCGACCATTCATCGCAACATGGACGGATGGCCCGTTAGGGGCTGCACCACAGTAAACCCGTCCTCGCTCCCCCGGCAGCCGGCAGCTGCAAGCATCTCCTCAGCAAGGAGCAGGGCTCCGTGGCCCCTTCCCATCCCTGCTGGGTTTTGAAGTGTGTTGGTCTTAGTCAGGTCATATGTGTGCAGTTACAGCTGCTGGGAATTCATGTGTGCAGCCCTCCTGGCATGAGTGGGAAACACTTGACAGTAGTCCTCCAACTGCCTCTGGCCTTTATGGTCTTCCCAACAGCTCTTCTGAGCAGATCCCTGAACCCTGTGTCGGGCGGGCGTGCCATGTGGATGTCCCATCTGAGGCTGACCAGCTGCGTGTCTCTGTCAGCTGTCAGCTACTACAGCGGGAAGTTCTTTGGACGGCAGTTGAGAGCTGCGCTAACCCTTTGGTCTAACAGATCAGATAATGCATGCGGCGTGCAGTTTAGTACCCATGTCCATTTAGCGGAATGCTGGAAGTAAATTTCTTTCTAGAGTTTATGACTCAGCCAGCGAACGGTTCTTGGCCCAGTTAACAGGACCAGGTGTGAATTCTGTCATGTGGCCTGGGCCTTCCATCCAGTCAGAAAGCGGTTGGTTACTGCCAAAGCATGCCAGCGTTGTCAGCGGGCATACCTGCTCTGTTGGCCATTGTTGTAACGCGTGGTGTTCACAGCTGGGTGACTGCTGGTTAGGTTTCCCCTTTGGTCTTGCACTTGGCATCTCCTGTGGAAATCAGCCTGTAGGGATGAAGCTTCCAGGTCGCAGCCGGTTTGGTTTTTCTGTGTCCCGGGAGAATGTATGTGGTGTCCTCAGCAAGTGTCTTATCACCTACTTCAGCACTGTGGTGAAGAAGAAAGTTCCAGGCAGCCATAACAGCTACAATAAATCTCCTTAAAATAGTTCCTAAGGCGTTCTAGAGAAAGCAAAACACTCAGAGTGAACGGATGAGGAGGAACATGTGTGGAGACGTGTGACACTACGGAGTGTCTTGTGGGAAATTTGAGAACTCTGGCATGTACCCCGAGTGGTAGATCCCTGACATTTCTGAGTGCAGGTGTGACAGAATACAACTTTTTTAAAAAAGGTTATTTTAGGTACTGTTTTTAAAGTAAATAGTCGAGGTTCCAAGTTCAGTGGGAAGGTTATTGTAGTAATATGGGTGGGTGATGATGGAAGCTTAGGCCTATTATTCTGTGATCATTAAATATTTTCCCCCACACTGTAGATTGTCTTTTTAAAAAGTCATACTGTCCTTTAAAATGTAAAGGTTTTTGGGGTGCAGCATCTGCCCCATCTATGACCCGCTGAAGTGTCAAGGGATCCTGTGGAATCATAGCATGTAGGAGAGGAATGCCAGTGGGGTCCAGTGTTGCTGGTCTCAAAGCCGGAGGCCATGAACCTGACCGACAACTCATTACACAGTGAACATTTGTAAATAAAGCTGTTTTGACCAAAGGGTCTACTGGGTGACACCCAGCAGCTCCCGTTGCCACTAAGTAGGATAAAGAGACAATGGAGCAGTAGGAATGATGGAGGAGGGAAGTGGCTTCATTTTTCTTTTTCCTTTAGTTATTGTTCATTTTTATCTTATTTTCATTTTTTTTAATTGTTCCTTTGGGGTTGTACTACAAGTCAGGAACTGGAAACGTTGCCAGTTTCCCCCCTTGTTTTGTGAAACCCAATAGATAAATACGCTATTTTCAAGGATTTGGAAACAAAAGTTATTGGGGATAAACAGATTAGTAGGTGGTCAGGGACACTCTCTGTTTTTCCAGGTGTTCGGTTCCTAGTACCCGTATCAGGTGGCTCATAACCTCCTGGAACTCTAGCTCCCAGGTATCTGGTACCATCTTTTGGCATTCTAAGTGCACATGCACACAGACACATACATAGACACAATATACACTTACATAGTCACAGACACACACACAGAGTCACAGTCGCATACACATAGATACACACACAGATACAAATACATATACAGATATACACACAGAGTCACAGTCACATACACATAGTCCCACACCCATATAGACACAAATAAAGACACATGTACACACACACACACACACACACACAAACACAGATACAGACATATACACAGAGTCACAGTCACATACACACAGTCACACTCTCACAAAGACACAAATACACACACATGCAGTCACACACACACAGACACACATACAACTACAGACACAGTCACAGATACATACACAAACACAGATACAGACATACACACAGAGTCATAGTCACATACACACAGACACACCCACATAGACACAAATAAAGACACACACCAGTCACAGACACACACGGACACACATACATACAACTACACACATACACACAGTCACAGTCACACACATAAACACACACATACACACACATACACAGTCATACACCCGCATAGATACAAATAAAGACACACACACAGATACATACAACTACAGATGCACAGACATACATGCACAGACATAGATACAGACTTACACAGAGACACAAGATACACACAAAAACAGATGTATAAATTAAAATGATAAATCTTTAAATATAAAATAAAAAGATTTCTAATTTCTTAAATTATGTTTTAAATTTTTTCAAAGATGGTAGTTAGCTGCCATATGGGTTCTGGGACTCAAACCAGGGTCCCTGGAAGGGCAGCCGGTGTTCTTACCCACTGAACCATCTCTCCAGCCCTTGTTGATAGAGTTACGGAAGGTTCTGAGCCACTTGACACAGTTGCTAGGGACCGAACATCTGGAAGAACAGAGAGTGTTCCTGACCACTGAGCCATCTATTTTACCCCCCAATTTTTTCTAATTTTACCCCCCAATTTCTGTCAGAATGTATTGCCGAATGCATATGATTGATTATACAAACTTTTGCCTACATGGGCAAAAGGAACGAGTCACTCTCTATAGTAGCTGTAAAATAATTTAAATTGTTATGAAGGGTTTTATGTTTTCAGCAGGCAGGGTGCTTTGAGAAATATGTTTCCCCTTTGGGGACAGTATTCCTCTGCTAGATTTAAAGCTAGTTCAATTATTCCGAATTAATTTTTGTTACTGACATGACACATCTGGCAAGCTGAGGCACAGTAAATAGAAATTTAAATGGAAAGAAGGATTGATGTCTGTCTTATTCATTGTCATAGATTTTTATGAAACTTTAAATAATCCTTGACTTTTTTTTAGGCCCTAAAAGGTGGCAAGATGATATCTTGCTGTCTGTGACTTTATATTGTTGTGTGATGTATAAAAATAACTGATTTTTTAATGGCCACATTAGTTACCTAACTAATAAACAGCATGTCACATTGATAAGTTATGTAGTAATGACTAAAATTAAAATTTTAAGAGCGAGGAAGCACACATTTATTGCCCTTTCCTGGGAACTGAGCTTGGGTCCTCTAGAAGAGTGGTACATGCTGGCCCCCGAGGCTTCTCTCCAGGTCCTTATGGGTTACTTTTAGAAGCCTAACCCCTGAAAACACTGTCATTGTTTTATCGGTAACTTTGTAAGGCTGTTTTCAGACTGTGGCACTCATAGTTACCATGAAAGCTGTCCATATTGTCATTGTTTAATCGGTAACTTTGTAAGATTGTTTTCAGACTGTGGCACTCATAGTTACCATGAAACATGTCCATATTGTCATTGTTTTATTGTCATTGTTTTATTGGTAACTTTGTAAGGTTGTTTTCCGACTGTGGCATTCATAGATACTTTATTGCTATAATTCATGACTAAAAGTGCTTTCTTGGGGTCTTATATGTGTATCTATAGATCTTATATGTGTATGTATAGATTATTACACATGTCTACAACCGTTGTAAACTGCAGTAGAATACAGCATTGTTAGCAGTTTGAATTTTAAGCTGGGAAGTGGTGGCACATGTCTTTAATCCCAGCACTCAGGATGCAGAGGCAGGTGACTGTCTGTGAGTTCAAGGCAGGCATGGTCTACAGAGTGAGTTCCAGGACAGCCAGAGCAACACAAAGAAACCCTGCCTGGAAAACAACAACAACAAGAACAACAAGAAGTTTGAATTATGGTACCATATCGCTTAGTTTTGCTTGCCACAATCATGCTGGAGAAGTTACTTAGTTCCCAGTTTCCTTATTTGTAAAGTGAACTTATATTGACGTGACAGATCGTCAGTGACATTCATTCGTGCCTGTGCAGTGTGTGTGTGTGTGTGTGTGTGTGTGTGTGTGTGTGTGTGTGTGTGTGTGTGTGTGTATTGCAGGCCCACACGTGCTTGGGAGCGGGTATGCACATTGTGTGCGTGTGGGTGCCCACTGGTGTGTACCTCATGCATTGTTCCGCAGTCTGCTGTTCTGAAGCGTGGCTCTGCCTGAACTCACCAACTGCTGTGCTGGCTTGCCAGTGCGCATCTGG